TATGCAGCCTTTATTTTATTAAATTATATGTCATATGTAAAAAGTTTTGTAATAAATCGAATTTCAGAATAAACTAACATTTACATCAAGGTTATAGAACAAAACTAGTTTGTGGACACTTTGTTTACCAAATGACAAAAAAGTTAGGTCACGACAAACTACGCATTTTAAAATTCCATCAATACTTTGTTTAAACAAATTTTACATAAATTTGCCTAAAATTAACAACTTTGTCATTGCGAAAAACTCGCAAACTAGATAGCATTCTAAATACCTATTTAAAGTAAATTTAATATCGAATTGTTGAAATTAATTAAACCGTAAAAACAATCGGGACAATGGCAGGCGAACCAAAATAAAATAGAAACATTGAGAAAGTAATGCGTGACAACAAAGAATGAGTAATCTTGATATTTGGTTTTTAAAAGGGTACCGTTTTTAAACTTATTCTTATCAAAGTTAAATATGTTATAGAGAATTTAAAGTATGATTTAACAAAAGTATAAAGACTTAAACTAAAAGTTTAAAAGTATAAAAATACTAAGTTATTTTGACATACCTTTGGTTTGCGGAACCATTTTCTGAGAGAATCCATCGGACCAGTTTTATATAGCAGCCTCATATGAACGGATCACAGCACAATCACACACACATTATAAAACCAACTTAGCACTGAAAAAACACAAATTATTTGCAAACACGGCGATTTTTTGGCCAATATTTACGTCAAAATACACAAACGGCGGACATGTTTCCACGATTCGCGTTCACGTTTGTGAATGAATGATCCGATTTAACTGAACGGATAATTTGATCGCCGTCAGCAGAACTCATTCAATATTTTCTGCTGCTAATATCAGACGAATGAAAAGATCGGAAACATACCAACATAAGGACATTTGTTACATTTCCAAAGAATTCTAAAATAATTGCGATTAGATCTAAGGCCTCTGGATAAAACAAAAATCAACGCAAAAAGCAAAATTAAAAATAATAGACATTACCCAACAACATTTTTTTTTTCACTTGTAAAGCTGCCATCTTTTGGCATACTGTTTAAGTTAACAATCGCTATGTAACCGCCATCTATTGGCGAGATTTCGTATCAATTAAGGTGGCATGGAAATATTAGACAAAGGTCAAAAATCCTTTTTCTGGATAGAGGATGTGATTTTAGACTTTAGGTCACTAAAGGTGTCTTCAGAATTATTTGCTACGAGCTGTTGCCCGCGACTTCGTCCGCGTGGTATTAGAAAACATACAAACTATATAAATTACAAAAAGTTAC